CGAAATAGGGTGAATACATCTCATTACAATGATTTACTGGTAGTCTCGAAACCCTACTCTAATACGAATTAAAAATAAGCACGGTAAAAAATGGTGACAGGGAAGGCATGATAGGAGGATATAGGAAATGTGAATAGCTCAGAGCAGAATGGGAGATAGTACACGTTTGTTCAAAGAATGGGCTTCACTTGTCTCTTTGACGAGTTGTAATATGGTGCTACGAATGGTGAGACTTACTGACGATGCCGGTGAAATGTATGGGAATGTAGCACGTCCACGGTCCTACTCTGGAAATAATGATGCATACAACGGACTCCGGAATAGGTCCTTCTCTTAAGTCTTCCTACCAATATGACCAAGTTGCGAAAACAAGGTCAAACAACTTTTTGTCGTAATATTGTTGCTTTTAACGAATTTGGGAAGGGTGAGGTAATTACTTTTTACATTGTAACTCTACTTGGTAAGAGGATTAAATTTCGGACAGGGTGCGTTCTTCTAGGTCTTCCTACCAATATGACCAAGTTGCGAAAGCAAGGTCAAACAACTTGTCTACAAAGAAAGGAGACTACGACCACACAAAAGGCCACACCATCTTGGTCTTCATACCTTCGATTAAACTGCTGCTTGATGGTCATTTCAACACTTGCCAATGAATTCCTACAAGCGGAAGCTCAAGACATAGATGCGAGTTTTAGAATTCCTTTGACAAATTCCTACAACGCCCTAAATGACTTTTTGGCAAAAAATCGAAACTCTACCCCAATACGAAACAAATTACCGTCGATTCTGCTTAATTCATGTTCATCCAGCCAGTGCATTGGTTCTTCGTGAGGCGTGAACTTGTGTCCGTTGCTAACGGCCAAGACAAGAGTGTGTGTATCATTCGCGTTATGGTTAGAAACGCAGGTCACCTGACCGAGTAGGGCTTAACCATTCACTGGAGCATGCTTCCGACTCGTGCTTCTTCTAATATTGACTCTTTTAATGTGAACTTTTGACTGATTAATGGCTAGGCCCCTTTTCTACCGGACTCTCCAAGAGCGGCGCACGTGTTCAAGAGCTTCTTTTGCTTTTGTGCAACCTCCAGTTGGCCCAATTCATCAGCATTCTTGCCTTTTTACCAGCCTCACCTCAAAAGAGGCTTCCAGCCACTGTTTCTCGGGCTCAAGAGACTACGAGCTGCCGACCAGGCAGAGATCACCGCCACCGGTTACGCCGTCTGGACAGGGGGCTGTAGTTTTCGGTTGCCATGGCAAAATTTTCGAATAAAAAATGACAACCACACCTCGCCGGGGTTGTTACGACGAAGCATAATGAGAAGAACAAAGCAGAAGACACTTGGTTACTTCGTCGTCGATTCCGCCCTCTTCTGACTGTTGCAATCGGTTGCAGCCCAACAAGATATTCTGCCAACATCTACGTCGCGATTATCAAATCTCCACAGTTAGTAGAAGAGATGACAAAAGTCAACTCTGGAAATGCACTTTGCAATATGATCTCTCTAAACATGTCTCCCAGATCAAATGACGTAGTGAAGAGCGAGTGAAGCTGGAGATGGTAGGCAAAGAGCTCCGGCCTCATAAGGGCCAAACATGGTTGTTGGATACCTCGTGAATAGATGGATGGAATAAAGGATGCAAGTGGTTTGACCTCTTTTTTACCTATATTCGTAAGTTAGTAGGGTTTCGAGACTACCAGTAAATCAGTGTAATGACATGTATTCACCCTATTTCGTGTAAGGTGATG